TTAAAGTTGTCCAAATGAAGTTCTTAGCGATGCATATTACTAATCAAAAATTAAGTTTTGATATATTTACAGTAGGAAATTTACAAAATATCTTCATGGAACATGATCTTTATTTAATGTCCTAATGATTTTTGGGATAAAAGAAAAATCAATAATTTTGACCCATACAGTGTATTGGCTATTGCTACAAATATACCCCAGCGACTAAAGACTGCTTTTGTGCTCCAGGGTCGCATTTGTAAAATTGGTTAGATAGCACTTATATTAGTTAGTCTGACATTATTCTGTGTGTTTATTTGTGTAACGCTGTCTCTCCTCTCACAGCTGGATGGTTTTCAGAGGCATTTCGACTCTCAGATCATCACATACGGCAAACAAGTGATTTTGAACCTGGTGAATCAAAAGGGCTCAGAAAAGCCGCTGGAACAGGCCTTCGCGAAGATGGTGGACAGTCTGGGCAACGGCATGATCAAGTGAGTGAGCCGATTGGGAAATCTCATAAAACGCTAATGCTGAAGCACAAGAGCTAAACCCACAGCTCTGTTCGTCTGCAGGTACGTTGCGTTTGACTTCCACAAGGAGTGCAGCCGTATGAGGTGGCATCGCCTGCAGATCCTGGTGGACATGGTGGCGGAAATACAGAATGAGTTCGGGTTAGTGTTGATTTCGTTAACGAAAACTGTGACGAAAAATGTTTGTTGACTAGCTTTTTCCCCATGACTAAAGTGAGACCATGAAGAGACGACAATAAGGTCAATAAACAATAACAGGGATGTAACGATTAACCGCGAGCTGGTTGAAAATTGATTTAAATATGTGACGATTCAAATCAGTTGAGATGCTAAACAAATCGCAATTCAATTAGGGGTAGGAGTTTATATGAATGTATGTCTGAGGGGAACTTACTGTGTTTAGATGGTATTTTTTCTTTTCATCTTGCCTCTGTATAACGCATATTAAAGTTCATAAGTGCAGCGCTGCTTTGTTTACAGCGGAAACCAAGGAAACGCTTTAAGCGCCACCTGCTGGCAGAGAGTGAATCTG